TACTATAATATGGAGTCGTGTGGCACGCCGTCCACTTATATACTATAATATGGAGTCGTGTGGCACGCCGTCCACTTATATATATATTATGAAATGGGATCGTGTGGCACGCCGACCACTTATATATTATGAAATGGGATCGTGTGGCACGCCGTCCACTTATGAATTAAGAAATGGGATCGTGTGGCGCGCCGACCACTTATATATGAGCTATGGTATTGAGATAGTTTCGTCGTTATATCCGTTGATCTGTATTCACTGTATTTTCCCCGAGCATGCCCCCTTCCCCTTTTTAGTTGACGTTCTCTGTTGTTATTTCTGTTGCCTTTGTATATATATCTGCGCAGGTTATTTTTGGTAGGTCCTGTCTAGCCTCGTCACTACTTCGCCGGGGTTAGGCCAGGCACTTACCAGCACATGGGGTCGGTTGTGCTGATGCTACACTTCTGTGCTTTTTGTACAGATCATAGTACCGGAGCAGGAGCTTTTGGACAGCAGTAGGAGCGTTGGGAGCTTACTTCAGTCCGGAGATTTTCGAGGTAGCCTTGCTGGCGTCCGCATGGCCCGGAGTCTCTCTTATCTCTGTCTTTCATTTGATTTTCCTTGTATCGGATCAGACAGTACTGTATTCTTATTCAGACTTTGTATTTAGCATTCAGTAGAAGTTCGTGAGTTAGTGACACCAGATCTGGGTAGAGGTGTATTTGAATTTTCGCACTTGATTTCAGTTATTTATGTTTCGAGACTTCCGCTTTTATATTAATTGCCTCGTTCTTCTTTATACTGTTAATGATGTTGAGAGAAGTGTTAAATTAATTGGCTTGCCTAGCTCCTATTAGTAGGCGCCATCACGACTCCCGAGGGTGGAAAATCCGGGTCGTGACAGTCCCCTCCGGGATACAATAACCCGACAACGTCGTATGACTCGAACAAACTCTGGACAAGTTGTTGAGTCCAAAGCTCCACAAAAAATGAGCACCTTCCTTCAACAAAAATAATATTCTCTTTTGTAGAGAATACGTTGGAGACTTAGATGTTCTCCTTTTCTTAACTCTCTTTTTCACAATACCAACCACACATTTTTCATGTACATCATAACACTTTTCTCATTCTCACTACCATATTTTTTCCATCTACAACACAAGGAAGGAACACCATTATTTATAGGTGCAGAATCTCTTCCATGAAATAAATAATAAGATAGTACAACAACAACAACAAACTCAGTAATATCTCACACCGTAATAATAAGATAGTGGGATAATAAAATAGTAAAAAATGAGTTGGTGGTTACAAAATATAATCTTTAGTGGGTAATTAGTGGTAGATCATGGCATTAGTGGTTTCAAGAATTACACCAAAATAATGATCACTTTCTTGCCAATTTATAACTACTATCTCATAAGAAATATTAATGCACTTTAATATTATAATTTAATATTAAAATGCACTAACACCAACAGTGAACTCGTGAGATAACAAGAGTTTAGGTCCTCCACGACTCAAAATGGTTATCCCTTCGAGGATAATAGATGGAGTCACCAAGAGAGGCGGACTCAAGATTTGAAGGTCGCAGGTGCACTTTTTTATTCAACCAAAATCTGCTTGGTATAAAGGGTGCCACTATTAAAATATTATTATTTTCTATAGATATATACGTGTATACATGGAATTTTTGCCGAACTTTACGGATGCCGGTAATCCCTATACCTATTGCATAGGTCCGCCTCTGACTCACCACCTCCCTCATATGTACACCTTTTTTTCCCTCTTTCTGTCTCACTTTATGTTACACAATTATTATTTGGAGAATTAAAAGAGTACTTCTTTTCACAATTTTTTCATGTGCATTTTAATTATTTTATATTGTTAATTATTATGATTTATATAATTTTATGTAGTTTTTAAATATGTAAATTTTATTTTAAATTTTTTTAAAATTCTATATTTGAATTCACATCGAAAATTATGTACTTTGACTCCCGTACTTCAAATTGTGTCACATAAATTAGAAAGGAAGGAGAACTAATACTTCATTGTCGACTTTCTCAACCAAAAAAAATAAATAAATTAGACACTTCATTGTCGAGTGATCTTTAATCACTAAATTACAAAACTAATCTTCAATTAACTTTGTAATACACGTAATATTAGACAAGAGCTTTAGGCTCAACCTAATACTCTTTTATATCATGATGTCGTCAATATTTAAGGAGTCAAACAATTTTTTTAATTATAATTTTTTTCAACATATATATTCTAACTATTGTCACCTATTATAATTGGTTATATGATACATCTGATTTCGTTTATATATTAGGGGACTTTGAATTAAAACAGCGAGCTGTCTTTTACTATGTTTCACTTGATCTACAACCTGATGCAGAGGAAAGAAAAAAATAATCTAAAAAGAGCTATAGCAATTAGACACCTTTTGTCAAATCAAATATCAAATTGGTAGACCCAGCTATCTCTCTAGGTCTCACGATAAAGTGCTTTTTTTGGCTGGAAAATAGTTCTAAATAAGAATTTAGTGTAATACCTTAAATTATTCAAACAATGTGATATTGACATTTATAAGAATTTAAATCATTGCTTAAATTCTATCCCTCTGATTTCAATTTTCATGGCGTAGAGTATTTCCTTGATAAATTTGTAAAATCTATAACAACCCCTTTTCAACCCCTAAACTATCTTTGTGCACCTTTATTTTATACACTTCATAACTCTTGAGTTGGTCGTTGCCTTGGAGAACGGCTGATTCTGCAGAATTATTCTTAATTCTAAAGATAATCACCTTTTCTTCTATTTCGGGTATAACATGCTAAACCTCATTTGTAAGATTACACTGAGTATGTTAGTGTTGTTGTAACGTATAATCCTAGAAAATTTAATACTTGTTCGCAACCGTGAAACAATGTGAAAAGTTACAATATTTGCTTATTTTCCCAGTATAATACTTCAATATTTGTTTATATAATAACCTAATGGAAATAGAAGCTATATCATTTTTCTTTTTCTTTCTCTTATTTAGAAAACATACAATAATTAATGTGGCAGTCAAAGTTGCAGAACATGCATGAGATATGGGGAAGCAAGAAGGGTCTCTTCTCTTAAAGCAAGAAACAATAATTAGAGCACATGAGACATAGGCCATTCATTATATGGCAAAAGACTTCCCAAATAAAGCTGTTTTGATAGTTATATCATGCAGATAAAGAAGCTTGCATAATTAAGTGGAATGGAGGTGACCTAAAAGTGGGACAAGAAGCTTCTTAAGAAAAAAAATTCTAATCACACTGGATCAGTTGGTTCGTTCTAGGGGTGTCAAATGCGCATTGGACCAATTTTGGACGGATCAAAACGGGTTAAGTCAATAATTGAGCAGGTTATTAAATTTCTTGGGCTAAGATGGGTTGGATCAAGAAGGGCTAAAATTTAGGTCATAGCCCAACCGGCGCACATCAATCTTTAGTTAATATATGTTCTTTTCTTATAAATTGTATAATAACTAAATAATGTACTTTTTTTCTTTTGTTATGGTCATATATAACATATCAAACAAAAAGATAAATTTATTTCTAAAATATTTGGCAAAGTTACTCATGGATCAATTTGGGCTAAAAATCAACCCAACTTTAAATGGGTTGAGATGAATTAGGTCAAGACGGTTGAGTTCAATAAATGGGTTGGGTCAATAACTAACCCAACCATGGGCGGGTTAGGCGGGTCATTTGGGCTTGGCCAAATTTGACAGCCCTAGTTCGTTCATTAGTCAAATTTATCACTAGTAACAACCCAAATATACATGCCATTACCATCGTTAAAAGTTAGTATTAGGCCAAAAAATAGCTTGAGATCGTAGGGGAAAACCAAGAGGGATTCTTCTAATTGTTTTGGAAGAAGAGGAAACAACTTTGAACTTTTGCGACCGAAATCTTATGCAGCATCCTTTCATACAGACAAGGGCAAGAAACACTTGGCAAGTAAAGAACCCAATCTGTAACGCTATGTAAACAGGGAAATTTAAAAAAGAATGTGCACCCTTGGTCAATTACTAGAATGAGTGAAAAACGCACATCTCTAAGAGGCATATGGCATTCCTACCAAACCAACAAATGAAAGAGAATAAAAAGGGCAGATCGGTGCACTAAGCTTCCGCTATACGCGGGGTCCGGGAAAGGGCTGAACCACAAGGGTCTACTGTACGCAGTCTTGCCCTGCATTTCGGCAAGAGGTTGTTTCCACGGCTTGAACCATAAAATATTTAAGAGTAACCTCTCACTCCGGTGGCTGTAAACAAATAATTTTATCATTTTTTCCTTTCTGATATCCCAATGAAGTTAACTTACGCAAAAATTCTACCACAACAACAGACCAACCCTACATCGACTCTACAAATTACAGCTCAGAAAGACCCATATTCTAGCGACATGTTACGACAAGTTTTCACTCAATACACCTATATGCATATGTTATGAAGTTCTCCCATTCAATGCTTTTAAGTTAAAAAGGCAGTGGAAATGCCCCGATCTCAACTTAGTTTCCTTACCTATAGTACAAGTAGAATAATCAGAAACTATGTATGAGCACCATAGTGGCTGATATCAGCACCATAATGGCTGAGAAGGTACAAACGACTTCACTTCATGAAGACTCGCTAGTCAAACCACAGAGAGCCATATGTAGCACCATAATGGCTGAGAAGGTACAAACGACTTCACTTCATGAAGACTCGCTAGTCAAACAACAGAGAGCCATATGTAGGTTTATCGCATGACTGACTCTTTGACAAATGAACGTCCGCCAGATCTGCATGAACAAGAATGCAAAAAGGAATTAAAGTTACAGGTAATACCAGAAACGCTGAAGTAAGCTAGATAGTGGGCCTCAATTGAGTTTAGCACCAAAACATACGAATATTCAAGATGGATGTTCATGAAACGAGCATTTTCTTTGCTTTGCGACAGTGTTAGAGAGCCTTCAATAACTTGATCTTGCTCTACATCCAAGGGTTCATAGAAGTAAACCAATGTCTGCAAAATCATGTCAAAAAATGTTAACCATGGCCACATGCACCAATTTCTTCTGAGAAGAGCCGATAGAAAAGTGGGAGATAACCATAATTTTCTTCCAAACAGGATTATCACCATTAGTTTATCAAAATATGTAGTTACTCTATCTAAGAAACAGTTTTACTACAACCAAATATCGAAAATTAGATGCAGATTGTTGATTAACCATCAATTCTCACTATTCTATGCCTAACTTTCATTCCAATGAGCGAAAAGGTAAAGAGTTGAATAGAGAGAGAACGATCAAAGATTATTATTTTATTTGGGGAAGTATTTACAGGACCTGTTGCCAGTGTGTTGGGGGATCCTCTGGTGCAGTTGACAAGACAAGCGCTTCACTAGGATTGGGACGTTTCTTTCTGTGATTGCCCTCCGAGATGTAACTGTTTGAAGACTCGACAAATGACGGTGGCACACCATTGTTCAAAGGTAATACTGCGGGGCCAGTAAACTCCACATCGAACCAGAAAGCAAAACCATGAAAGGGTGCTGAAACAAAGAGAATCAGGTATTGAACCACTTGGTGAACACTAAAAGAAGAAAAGCACAAATCATATCCCTCCAACAATTCTAACGAAGAGGAACAAGAAAGATAAATATCAAAACAGATGTAACAAAAGATAGCCATGAGCTAACTGTTTTGCAAACACATCCAGACAATGTTAGTTTTTCTATTGGGGGTGGGGTGGAGGTGGGGGGAGGGAGAGAGGGGGCAGGGGGGAGGAGAGCAGTTGCACCTCGCATCATTGACTCAAATTTAAATCTGGTAGTTATGGACTCTAATTCCTGAATTGTCACTGTATAGCAGTCCACATGCTTCGCCTGCCGTCAAGTTGAAGGGAAATGAGTCCAAAATGAGAAAGACTGACGAAGAGTCAGTAAATATATAAAATCTAAAATCAAAGAGAGACCAAATTTGAAATAAACAAGCAAAATTGACAGAGGTCAGATGTCAGACAGTTTGGTCAGTTAAACTAGTTCCAACTGAACAGCAATCACAGAAGCGATGAAACTGATGCTTCCACAAGAAAATGAACCATTCATACAGCACTTCACAAAAATGTGACAGCTCCAGTGACTAGGCATAAAAGCCACAAAATAGTAAGTTAAGAGGAACAAGATATTCAGCGTCTGACACTGATAAATCTTTTGATATGCTTGGGATTAAGAGTAGTTGTTGTCGCCGTCGTTTGGCACAAGATAATAGACAACAATTTGATACCCAAAAAGAACTGAACTTGATGGTACTAACCACTTGTGGCCATGTCAAAACATTTTCAACAGTGATTGTCTCCACTGATGGCTCTTCAAATGCACACTGCTTTGCTAACGGCATTATAGCAGACACTGCAAAAAATGAAACTCCAACTGAATCTAATGGGGAAACGCGTATAAAGATAGATCATCAAAAGCAATATTTGCATTTAGCAACTAAACTTTGTTTTTTAGGTGTGTTTGCCCACTCCCACAGAGTTTAAGGTCCACGTTTACTATACAGCTCTCAGCACATGATGGATAACACCTTTCTTTCTTTCTTTCTTTTTGGTCTGTGTGTGTGATCAGTATATATCACCCACGTTGTAACTGGATAAGGGAGGTTAATAGATGAAACAACAGTTTCAATGACAGTACAAAAACCTAAGAACTGGAGAATCAACTGTATAATCAAAAGATAATCCAATCCAAATAAAAATGGTAAACAAACCAGCAAATCTGAAGAAATTAATATTTAAACAAGTTTGACCACTGTACGTGAAAGGTCACCAGGAAAGCAAAGCAAAAACTTGAAACTCGACTCTTTCGTTAATGCAAGAGACGTGTACTAGTATATTTAGCCACTCAGTGCTACTAACTACTCTATTTTTGTTTCAATCAGAAAAAGAGATTCCTTTAACGAGGTTAAGCATATTCTCATCTATATGGGAATCCAGATGGGTGGCAAAGATGGAGAAGAGGAAAATAACTAGAGGATTGAGCAAAAGAGTTAAGCTTTTAACACAGCTCGATGAATAATGATATAATAAATCAAATCTTAGAAGTTTACATGCCAAACTTAATAAAATGACTAAATGTCATACAGAAATCCTACAAGTTTTAGTAGTTAACAATAAATATATACATATAAGGATGAGTGTCATATAAGGAAATAAACGACCAAAAGATCATTGTAAGGAACCCAGAATTCATCCAATAAAATACAAGTGGATCTAATTTGCATTATGAAGAGAAATCACTTCACTAAGGCAATGACATGTGTAACAACAGATATAATCATGAGTATTACAACATATACTCACTGTCAATCCCATAAACGTTACGCCAGAAATCAACGCTTTCGCCATACCGATCTGGATGTGTCACAGGCGCCATATAGAGCTGCAGAGAGAAGAAACAAATATTAAAATGACTTCCTACTCTTTCATATCATTGAGTGGTGGAAAAGTAAATGCTATTTATAATCATTTCAAGGTGAACAATGCAGTGCCATTTTTTGATGAAGCAAAGGATTTGATTCAAAATGCGTTGAGAAGATGCATAGCAAAGATTAGCTCAAACACAACATACTACATTACCACTAAGGAGCAGATACAATCCAAAAATGTCAGGTGCCTCATTTAGCCAACTAAAAAGGTTTAACAAACACCTATCTTTAAGGTCATGATTAGGAGTTGTGATACCATCAAAATATCTATGATCCCTTTCATTCCATATACACCAAAAGAATACAAGCTGGCTCCATTATCCAGACACTATTGATGGATTTTCAAACTATCCACGAACACCAGCCCTCATAAGCTTTCTTTACATTAGCATGACCCACGCAACACCAAAAATTGAGAAATACATGTTACAGATATCTGCTACACCTACAACGAAGTAGGAGATGACTGACACTCTCTGATTCCAGCTGACACGTATAGCACCTATTCAGTGTCTGAATACATCTCCTAGATAGGGTGTCTTGAGTTAAGCATGCTTCATAGAGGGTGGTTCAGCTAAAGCACTTGACCTTAGTGGGAAGTTTAGCCATCCAGATGAGCTTCCATGGCCATTTATCAATCAGGTCTTTGTTGGAACATAGATGAGAGTATCCTTCCTTAGAATATGAATATGTTCCAAGAGCTTCTCTCATCTAATTTTAAGTGAATAGACCATCATTCATAATACAACTGCTTCATATTAAGTCTCGGGTAATGCAAGTGTCAGCATGTGTTTTCTTCACTGAGTAAAATTACGAAGCAGATGTTAAGATAGTATTTTTTCCGAATAACTACAGAATATCTTAGTCTTTGTCGCATAACTACAAATAGCTGAACCTAAATTCTAATAATACAAATACACTATTCACTCAAGCTGTCAAGCAAAGGAAGCAAAAGGAGGACAGTACACACACACACACACACACACACACACACACACACACACACACACACAGAGAGGATAACTCCCAAATAAATTTCCAAGCTCACAAAAATTAGGAATGGAGTATGATTACCGTTGCAACTGACGGAAGAATAAGGCCTCCGGGTTTCAGCCAGCGGTCTCTAGCAGTAATAACACTCCCCAGCATGCTCTGCAAGGTGCGACAAGCATAATACATGTGGTGTAAGAAACACAAAAGTTAAGAAGTCATGGACTCACACACAATACATATAAAAGGTAACACCACATTACACAAAAGTTAAGAAGTCATGGACTCACACACAATACATATAAAAGGTAACACCACATCAAACTAGATTTAGGCGCTCCTCAGTGCCAGGTCAGCCTTCCTCCATAAGAGAAGCATTTTTTTCCCCACTAAAAGTCTACAAGAGAAGCATTTTAATGCACCTGTCTGTCCATTATTACCTCATAAAGAAGCATGTAACCCATCCATTCTGATACTATAACATCAACTTCTTCATCAATTTCAACATCCTGAACTAACCAAAAAGTATAATATGGTCATTAGTCACCACAGTCAAATCTTATAAGAGCAAGAGTTTTATTCATCCATAACAAGGAGATTCAATTATGACGAAGTTAGAAATGTCAACTTTTCCATTTATGACAATTGTGGAATTTCAGATGTACTGAGAACATTACATCTTCTCTCTTTTTAAATGCTTGAAAGCAATGTTTGAGGGGCATCGGCATCAAGTAGCAACTTAATGCCATTGAATATCAGCACCTATTCACTTCTCCCCTAGGTTCTTCCTCTTTATCTCTGACTTCACGAAATGGGAAGATCAATAATTCTAGGACCTGCTACAGCTAAAATGTCAGTCCACGGGATGCTAGTTGATAAAAAGCTCTCTTTTCATATCACCCAAGATTTGAAGCATATTTTAGTGGCTGTTGGTTAGAGATAGATCTTTAGTGATTTTGTTGTTTTGCAGTCAATTCACAAGAAGTTAGTCACACGTCTTCACTCTTCACCCAAGTAATTAAATGTGTCACTAATACTATTTCACTTTTACTTATTTAACAAGCCAGTCACAGAGGTTTTCTTATTTTTGAAAAGACCATAGAAGCATTCTTATTGTTTAGTAATTTGGAAAAATGATTGCTGACAGGCTACAGCTCATAGAACACCTACTAGGGTTACGCTATCCCCATAAAATCACGAATTTAGCACAGTTAGCTCATATGCCCAGTCCAAATACTTACAACCCAAAGAGAAAATATAAAATGGACCAACTTGCAATAACATTAATCAGATTATGCAGTCACACCTATTTACCCTTCCAATTCCTTCCCACTGTTCGCACTTCTCACTTACTTGACAAGTTCAACGCCTTGACTTTTAACTTTGATTGCATTTCCTAATATTCATCTTTGAATCACGAAAAGAAAAAAAGAGAGGATAAATTAACTACAGAAGTGGAGTAGTTAAAGGGTTTAAAGGACGGGTAATTTGTTAAAAATCATCGCATCAAAACTAAAAATGTATAAAGTAGTATTAGGGCCATTTTGCTTTTGATAGTCAAAAACTCATTGCAGTTCATGTTTTCCAAAGAGATGTACTGATTATTTACTGCTTATGCCTTATAAAAGCTGACAATTTTCATCTTTTAACTAAATATTAATTGTAATTAAGAAGACTGATTTAATCAAAAAGCATTAACTTAAAAGGTGAAACCAAAAACATCGCTTTAGTTTCTATCAGCTTAAACTTTTGGAGGTGAAATACTTTACCATTTTTGAGATGAATGTGCCTACTTTCTAACATTTTGGCACTGAAAGAGCAACATTTAGGTTCTATGTGACAAAATATTTCAATCGCACTCGAGTCTAAATAGCTAATTCACTGGTGTGCATCAATAGAAGGCATCACGCTGCAGCTTTCGGAAAACTATTTCCACAAGACCTAACCAGATTCTCTACAAACCATACCAATCAAGACTCTAGGTAAAAGCACCGGAACTGGGGGATTTCCTAGCTCAACAAGTTACCAAGCCATTCTAAATAAGGAATTTGATTTTTCCTAAAGAACTAAGTCCCTGTCACCTCTTATCTACAAGTATAAAACAGCATAAACAGGTGGAAGAATTCCGAGTATGCCAGATCAAGTAATGCTTGATCTTAGAGCCCAAAACAAGCACTTGAGCATGATAAATTAATTAAAGGTTCTTCTTAAGACCTGGCAATTCTTTCACATACAAGTAAAGTGAATGTTAAGGATCTTCACTTCCCTCAAGAAAAGCATTTTATTCAAGTTAAGCAAGAAGTAGCCAATCTTCTAAGGGTGAAAAACATTAGCCAAACAAGGGAAATGTTTAGACTGGAACATACCTCGACCCGCCCATGCAAAACAATAACTTTGTCAGATAGGTTGTTTGTCTTCACAATTTCATTTGCCTGGACAACCACAAAAAAGGGATGCAAAATGAAGTTTGAGTTGAAATATTTCACATAGTTCCTAACAATTAACAAAAGATATTTCGCATAGTTCCTGTAGGAAAAAACAGTGGAAGAGATCTTTAGAATGTCCAGCTACTAGGGTGTTTCCTTCATATATTATGGTTTAATAATGTTTTACACATGTTCTAAAAGAGGAAAGGGTAGAAACTTGCAGGAATCTCTCCAGTTCATCCTAATTGATATCATTGAAAGTCAAGAAAATAACGTAATAGTAATATTTTTAGAATGATCTAAATTTACGGAACTTGAGTAGAGAGTATTATCTAGAATTTCACAACATATCCCAAAATATTTTGTACTTAAACACTGGAAAGTATTATTAATTACATTATTGTATTTGTAGATAGGCTAAGAAGAGCAAGACTCTTATATAAGAAACTTCTTGTATATCACCAAGAACAAAAATTAAGCAAGACAACAAGACAAATTCTCTCATTTCCTCTCTTATTTTCACATGGTATCAAAATCTGTCTTCGTAGTGGTGTTTTTAAGAGCGAAAACCACAAAAAGCGACAAGGTCCATAGGAGAAAAAACCTCTGCTATCCCTCAAAACTCAGTCTTCTACCTTCATGCTTTCTGCCCCTCTTCCTTCAGCACAGCCAACTTTAGTGCATAACCCTAACTCCAGTGGATGCCCATGTTATCCTTATCCTGGGTCCCTCCTTGGCCCAAGAGACATTTTTTTCCTTCATCCTCCAAAAACTCAAGGAGAAATCAGCAAGACAAGCGATAGCAGCAACCTCATCCCACATTGTGGCAGCCCTATGTCTAACTAAGTTTATTTTCTTCTTTCTTCTTGATCTTTGTTGTCATCTTCATCTGTCCATCATTTTGGTTTCAACTTCGCGTTTAAAGTACACGCCAGACTTTGATCAGATTTTTACCGTACCAGCAACAGCATCATGTCAGATTGACGCGGATCTGATGAAGAAAACGAAGAATCAACATAACTCGGTAAAATATCCCAGTTGACACCACAAAGATGGTTTGGAGTAACAAATGATTTCTGCAAACGAATATCTGCTTGCTTCCTGTTTTTTATAAGTAAACATTTGATTGCTTGCTTATGGAATACAATGGTCGCTCCTGAGCTAATATGAGGAAGTACTGGAGGCAGGCCAAAGTAAGGTATGGTTGTTTCTATGCTTGTGTCTATAGGAAATAGGCTGCCTTTGCGGGATTGAGTTGCTAAGCCATGCATCTAAACCTCTGTCAAATGACTGAATTTCCAATACGAGCTAGGATGCCCTAGAATGATTCACAAACCTATGCATATTCAAGCGAATTTTGCAAGTGAATTACCCCATTGCATTTTTTTTTTATGAGGTAAAGTTTATTGATCTATTTCAGTGAAAGCTGGAAAAGAGTACATCCAAATAGGGTATGAACATCACAGAGAGTGTAATAAATAATAAAATCCAACATGGCTTCAAGCTGAATTACCCCACTGTACTTCTGTCAAAAGCACTGCGTTTCGTACCTTAATTGCCAGTCCATCCTCTTCCACTCATACGTGACACCTATCACTCCGCTTGTTCTCAGTTTTCCAACCATTAGTCCTCCCATAGGAACTGTTTTTTCATTTTTACATGAAACTCATGGTTGTTTCATCCTACCAACGTGTAAAACTTTGAAAATAATTACTTCTTCCTTACATAATCCTTGGCCGGCTACATAGTGCACAAATTGTCCTCAGTGCGGCAACTGGAAGTTCTTTAGAGAACTTATCACCACGTTAGACTATTGAATGTTTTGCAAGCTCTTTAACTTGACACGCAATGAGTTAAACCATGAGCGTTTGAAATCTTTTACTAGGAGGACCACATCATAAACCATCATTGTCGTCAGTTGCCTCACTACAAGCAGTTCTTCAGAAACAATAGAAGGTTAAGTTAAAATAGGAGTAGTCAAAGGTTCTGCAAGCCTAGTAAATGATGCATTACATCATAAGCACCATAATGAAGCAGTCGATTCTCCCAGACTCACCAACCATATAAAATGTGCATGGAACGTAACTGTGAGCGCTGTGAAAACTATTTCTTAGCATGAATGGACTTAGATGGATTATGCCTGTCTACAAGTGACCTTCTAAGGTGCTGGAATAATGAGGGAGGCAGTGTCAGACAAGAAATGGTGGAACATGATCCCAGCTTTCATATGGTGGACTGTTTGGAGGGAAAGAAGTGCAGGTGATAGATGCAACTCAGTTCAGATGATAAAGATGAATTCTATACTGGTATTTCACTTTAGGGGTAAAGAAAACTATGTAAATGAAGCTGAATCCATGCTAGATTTCATAGATTCATTGTAAGATGAACAAGGACATATTTTTGTTCTTATTTTAACAGTAAATATAGCTACCATGCCTACCAACACAGCCTTTGTGCTGCTGATTTATATAATGTTACCTCTCAAAAAGAAAAAAGAAAAAAAACAAATAAGAAAAAGAAAAGAAACACTACTCTAAGCTCATCATAGAATCTAAATTCTAAAATAAATAGAACAAGCTTCAATGGTAAGAAAACAAGTACCTGGACAGCTATATCACTTGCATCAACAGCATAGACCTGATTAAAAGAACATCTGCCTGATAAGTATTATATCTGGAATATCCAAATTAAAGGAAATACCAATTGAAGCAACAAAAGTTTGTTTTGCATCAAGAGGTCATTTGGTCTACCAAAAATCAGGGTAGCAAGAAAGTAAAACACATCAAATATGCGACATTATTTTGAAAAAGAATAAAAAACACAGATCTCCCAAAGCGATGGCAACTCAATGAACAATCAAAAACTTTGTCATGATAGCTGAATCAGTAGAGGGAGAGGGAGAGGGGGAGGGAGAGAGAGAGAGAGAGAGAGAGAGAGAGAGAGGGAGAGAGAGAGAGAGAGAGAGAGAAAATAAGCTAGCTGTTTTTCTGCAAGAAGGCTGAGGAAACAATCATATATTTCATCACCATGATCGGATGAATAATTCTCGAGCACTCATTTTCTGCATTGGTGTATAAAAGTCAATGCCTTCAACAATCCAGGATCACATGTTTGGTAGAAATAAAAAATCTTGGATGACTATCCCAGGATACTTTTTTTGGAGCATTTGATAGGAGAAAAGCGACAAGCCTAGCTTACAAGGAAGAAGGTTCGCCAAAGCATAGATTTAACCATTTGCTCAAGCTTTAAACTATTAGCAAGGACAAGTATATTCCATCTTCTCTTGACTTGTGACTTTCAGGATGAGCTAAGCTTGTACAGCTGAATGGTTTTGAATATGGCATATACTATCCTGCTTTTGTATGTTCTTGTATATGCCGACTTTTACATGCTTTGGCACCTCATTGGTGCCCGGTAAAGGGAATTCACATTGTTATGTACCAAGATAAAGAGTGTGCACACTACGAAGATACAGAAACAGAGGCGGAGCCAGGATTTAAAATTCATGGGTTCTAAATTTGCAATCGAACCCATAGCTCGTTAGTTACTGGGTTCGCAATTAAGTATTTATACATATTTAATAGATTTTCTAATACAAATACAATGTCTAAGCAAAAAGCTACTGGGTTCGTCCGAACTCGTAGGTAACACTCTTCCACCGCCCCTGTACAAGAAGTGTTGGCTGCAATCTAGCATAGGCATCTACATCGGGTAAATATTCCATTGACAAATACGGAACATGTTGCAATTTTCATGTTGCCAAATTTTTCTACTTTTACTAGTTAGAAACGTATTACAATCCAGGATGAGTTTGTATATTGTATACATAGACAAGTTCATAACATTTCCTCAAAAGTTAAGAGCTACGGAAAAAAAAAATTATGAGAAAGGAAGGAAAAAATGAACCATGGAAATAACAACTCCAACGGGTAAAATGAACTCAGATTGATGAAGTTTCAGCTAAAAAGGACTTAAAGATATCTTACTCGTCTTGCTCCTGCCTGAGCACAAAATATAGATAGGATGCCAGTGCCACATCCAACATCAACAACAACCTGGAAAATGTAAATTCAATTAAACTATAGACATAGATAGGAACTCTGTAATGAAACCATAAAACAGGTAAAGAATCGTGCAAAGCTTAGGTAGCAATACAATGTGAGATCTGATAAATTTTAGGAATATCATCTGGTGACTGGTGCACAAGGAACTATTCAGATAGTCGGCTTACTTTTCCAGCGATGTAGTTTTGATGCTGAAAAATTGCATTCCTATAACTTTCAGTCCGCGCACGATCCTGTGAATTTCATCCATAAATTAATATGTCCTTTATGCATCTAAATATATTGAAAGCATAAACATAATGGAAAAGGGCAATAGACATTCAAGTGCAAGTAAACTAATTAAATTGCCTAAAAGACAAGGAGTATAATGAATTTTCAACACAATTCAATAATGTGATCCAGCCTGGAAAAGATGACATTTTTTCAGTGGCGGTAAGCAAAGAAGTAATGATATATCGAAGGCATGTTATAAATCTCCAACTTATTACTTAAACTTCTGCTGTTCTGCAAAGTAATACTCCCTCTTGCAATTTAGATGACACTCTATTTTAGGAATATCCCAAACTATTTAGCAGTAATCCTTTTTTATATAACTTTCAGAATTTTCAGGAATTCAAATTTTTGACCTTTAGTATGATGTTTCTTTATCAAACTATCCATTAACTTGATATTTTCTCTGATAGTATAATCTACCATTCAAATTAGCATATTAAACTACTTACCAAGTCAGTTACCATCATATAAAATGAGACAGGAGGACTATAAAGTTTGAATTACACTATTCAGCTCCATTTAGTGTTCAATACTCGAGTGATGCAAATAGCCAAAGTAATTCTATAACTCTGTACGTTCCCGCAGTTACACTCCCTAAAGAACTGATTTTTATGAACAAACACACACACACACACACACATATGGACATGTATAGCTGTATACATGCCAACCAGTCTAACATGTATTCCCAGCTAATCCTATAACTTTGTAACTTCAAATCCTCAGGCTTACACTCCCTAAAAGCTAATTCTTTGTTATAATGCCAAACCAGTCTAACATGTACTGCCACTCCGAAAGCACTCTTCCATTTAAACCATCTTATTACGCCTACACACTCAACCATCAATGTACTTTAACCTGTTATGGCATGTTGCCTTTGCTTCCTTTTATTTTTAGGTTACCAGTAACCCTTATTATATAAGTTTACCTACAATTACCGTTTAGGCGACCAGATTGCGTAAATATTTTTTATACACTGTCAGTTCACAAAACTTAAAAACTCATTTGAAATATGTATAATACAGTCAAACCTTTCTATAAGATGAATAAATATGTTCCAAGGGAAACTTGGCCGTTATAGTAAAATGTTGTTATAGAGGAGATCCGCAATGTAAGAACGAGATCTTTTTAAAAAATGGTACCTTAATCATTTCTTCGTGAATGCCAACATGAGCATATGAGTTGAAATATGCCGCATCAAACTCTGTACAAGGAGGTGTAGGTTTTTCCCTTTCCTCCTCCTCGTATTCGTTCTGCTGATGCTGTTGATGTTGTTGCCATTGAGAAACCCTAGGAGCACCGTCGCTACAAGTAACGCCGCCTCTACGGCCACGTGACCTGCGGCGGCTGCCCCTACGTACTCGATGACCGCTTGAGATTCCGGCGGAGGAGGCGGCGCCGTCGTGGTGGTAGCCGTTTGTGTAACCGCCGTCTGTTGGTTGGAACATTTTTTGTCCCCGCGAGCTCCTCTGAGTCTCAGTCTGTCACTCTCTGTCCCACCGGCCCAAGCTATAATATCAAGACAGAACAGAGAGAAGGAGAAGGGCAAACTCGTGCGTTTGAATGAGGAAAAAGGTTCAAATTTACCCTTGTATTATTCAGAATTGGTACTTTTGGTCCACAAATATCTCTGTGATAGCCAAATACTATACCTGTTAATTGGACCGGGCTGGCCCGGTTCGACCCTGTTCAGACCGGGTCAACCCGGTACTGTAGGGGGTGGGGACGGTCTGGGAAGGGTTGGGCGGGGAGCCGGGCTTGAACGGACAAAATCTCCTAACCGGTACCCCAGAACCCGGTTAGCCTGGTTACCCGTTACCGGGCTACAGCCCAGTTACTCGTTACCGAACTACAGCCCGATTACGCGTTGCCGGGTTTTTATCGGGCTACAGCTCGGTCCAGCGCGGTTATCGTTGCAAATATTTTTATTTTTTTTTAAATTTCTGGACCATTGCCAACGGTCAAATTCAAAAATGACCGTTGGGCAACGACCATTTTTTGCAAAAATGCGACCGAGCCCCTTAAGAAAATAGCCCCCCCCCCCCACCACACACACACACCTAATAATTGATAAATTACAATTTTAACCTTTTAAAAACTATAAATAGCCCACATTCTTCTTCATTTTTTCTCACGTATTACTCTCTTAATTTCAAGTTTCATCAAATATTTGCTTTAGTCACTACAAAATTATAATTATCAAATATCAAGTATTCAAGTGAAGTGTGGTATCAAGTATTAGTATATCAACAGTTTGATATCAAATTTAGTGCGGCATCCGAAATCCCTGAAACTCTTGATACTGAAACTTGTATTTCTAATCTACACAAACATTTACAAACTGTATATAATTATTATGCTAACAATGTTGATGCTTCTGCGGCTGTAGATGCAAATATTCCTTCAAGTTTAGTTTCAACATATGGGACTGGTGCTTTGGAGGATAATGATGATGTTGAAGATTATTTAATTTGGTCTACACTAGGAGAGAATCAACAAACCAGTAGCAAAAATATTGATGAACTCCAATTCTACTTGCAAAAGTTACTAGAGACCCGCACAAAGGAATTGCTACCGCTGGGTTGTGGAGGAGAAACTCAAATCAATTTCCTTTTCTTTCGGCCATGGCTCGAGACGTGCTAAATGTGTCGATTTCAACAGTCACATCAGAGAACGCACTTAGCCAAGCAAGGCAGCAACTAGAAGATACCCGTCATTCATTGGGAGCAACGCTTTGGAAATTCTAGTGTGCTTCAGAGAATGAATAAGATCCGAACGGCGAAATCAAGGGCGTGAAGAGGTAGATGAAGCGGTAGACCAATAAATTGAAGATATGATGGTTTATGGTTCCGATTCAAGCAATGCCGGAAACCAAGAACCTCATGTTGACATGGATGAACTTACAAAAATGATGCAAAGCATGTGATGTACTCTTTTTTATTTTTTATAATTGTTGTAAACTTTAATTTGCAAGTTCAAAAATAAAAAAATTGAAATAAAACTTGCAAATTAATTTGAAGTACTATTTATTATTCAATGAAAATATCAAACGAAAGCCTTCCGAGTTTGATCCTTACATATTATCTATTGGTCTTATTAAATAATTTTTTGTAGCCACTTACTTTTATTTAAAGTTTAATTCTAAGCCTTAAAAGTTTGCAAACACTAAAGTATCAATAGCATTGAATAAGAAATATAAAAATTTTATAAAAATAAAAGTAACCCGGCCCGGCTCGGACCCATTAAGCCCGAACCCGGACGGGGCCACCGAAACCCGAAAAATCCCAGCCCACTATAAGGCTGTATTGTGGGCGGGGCCCAGTCCGGGACCGGCCCGGGACCGCGTGCCAAATGGGGCGGTTCAAATGGGCCGGTCTCTAGCGATCTAAAAGCCCACAGTGGGCCGGTCTTTACCAAAAAGCCCGCGAGCCCGGGGCCGTTTAGCCCGGGACCGGCAGGTGGGCCTGGGCCGATTCAACCGGACCAAACGGGCCCAACGGTAATTTTCTTAAAAAAAAAAAAATTTAAAAAGGGCCAACGGTCAGAATTTTAAAATGTAGGCGTTGGCCTGCATTTTTAGCCTTTTGGCACTTTCAAAAATAGTCATTTGGGCCCCAAACTTTGTTTTAACCCCAAACTTTTTATAATTATACTTTTTCCCTATTCTCAACTATAAATACCCCCTCATTCTTTCATTTTTACTCACAAATTCATCAATCTCTCTCTAAGTTTTTTCTATAATTGCTTACTTTATTATTGCAATTTCGTGAAAAATTGTGAAGTTGGAGAATTGAAGTATTCAAGTCTTCAACGATATTCAATTTTCAAGAAGTTGTTCGTCAATTCGGTAAACTCGTTCCAACTCTTAAGTTTTAATATTATAATTTTATTTGTTTTAGTTTGTATAATTATAATTAATATGACATTTTCTTTGAAAAAAATGTTTGGTGGTAAGGAAAAATCTAAAATTGGTGAATCTAGTCGCCAAGATACTACTCTTTCCCCGGCTCCCCGACCCAGACTTGTTACCCGTCCTCCTCACCTGTTATTCTTGATAGTGATAACCCTTGTTTTCAATTTTCCGATAGTCAATTTTGCCATGATGTTGCACCAGGTCAACAATTAAATGAAGAAGTTATGAATGCTCTTATCATAATCAAACTATCTTTGAAAATGATGAGGAAAATGATGATTTAGATGAAACGCAACCGGATTTAGATGATACACCTACTAGTCCTATTAATAACCCAACTGATGCCCCGCCTGACCCTCCAGTAGTAACCCCTACTTTTAATAGACAACGTTCTAAACGCCCCGAAACATCACTTGTTTGGAACTTTTTTACTCAACTAAGAGAACAAAATAAGGCTAAGTGTAAAACTTGTGGGTCTTTGATGACTCATAAATATACTGGAGACCGTAGTGGTACGGGTACTTTGACTAGACACATATTGAAGCACCCTAGAGATAAAGCTAGATATTTACAAATGAAAGTTGCGCAAGAGGGGACAAGTGTAGATACTACGTTTAACCCTAGTACAGGGTCAAATCTAGTTCAATCGGGAATTAACACTGTTACCGGTGTCATTTTATATTACGATCCAAATAAAGATCGTGAAGAATTGGCAAAAATGGTTACTGTTATGTGCTTACCCTATAGTTTTCCTTCTAACCCTCATTTTGTGCATTATATTAGAAGAGTTATTAATCCAACTTATAAAGGATGGCCTCGCGCAACCGTAAAGAGCGATATTTATAAATATAAACATGAATATGAACAATATTTGCTTTATTTATTTACTCATATAGATTGTCGCATTGCTATTACTACTGATATTGGTAAAAGCGGTAATGACTGTGATTATCTAACTGTTACCACTCATTGGATTGATGAAGAATGGAAAATGCAAAAACGTATTATTGCATATAGAATAATTAATTCACGTCACACAGGTAACTTTATTGCTAACACAGTTGCAGATATTTGTAGATATTTTTGCATTAGAGATAAAATAATCAATTTCTATGGATAATGCTTCTAGTAACACTAATGCTATAGCCTTACTTACAACTACACTAAATGTTGCATTTAGTAATTGATTCCATGTTAGATGTATTTGTTCATATTTACTATTTAATCGTCGATGATGGTATGAAAAATTTAAATTTGGAAATTGAAAAGGTTAAAATGGCTCTTAATTGGCTTTTTATTCAAACCATAGAAGTAAACTTAGAGAATATTTTATAAAATGTGATGAATTTGGCCTTAGAGAAAGAAAGGTTCCTAAAGCTTGTCCGACTAGATGGAATTGTATGTACGAAAGTTTAGTTGTTGCATATGAATATAGAAATCCAATAAATGCAACGTTTAATGCTCGTGTTGGTGGTGAGGATGATGATGAAATCCTTACAAATCAAGATTGGACGAATGTTAAAATTCTTATAGATTTTTTAGAACAATTTTATATTGCTACAAATGAATTGTCTGGGCAATATTATCCTACTATTTCAAACTGCTTAGTTTATATTGCAACACTATGTGATTTATTTGTTCAATTTTTAGAGGGTGGGGTAATTTATCAACTTGCTATAAATGCAATGAAAGAAAAGTTTAAAAAATATTTTTTTCCTATCCCCCCTATTTATGGTGTTGCTGCCATGTTAAATCCTACCATGAAATTAGGAGGTCCTCACTTTTGGTATTCAAATATTTATAGGGCTTTAGATCTTTCAGACGAGGAATTAGCTACACTTGCAGATGCAAAAGCCTCAATTAAAATAAATGCTCAAACAATTTATAATGCTTATCAACAAGCCTTAGATTATGCTAGACCACATGTTCCAACTCCTACTTCGTCTAGTTCGCAATCATCTAAAAGAAATGCGGGCCTAAAAGCACTTAGTTCTTGGACGGAGTTCAGGGGTTCTCAAGGTGATAATATTGATGATTGGACTCACATCTAAATGAACTTCAAGTTTATTTGTCGCAGGGCCTTGAAAAGGAGAATCCAGACGACACCTTTTAATCTTTTGGAATGGTGGAAGGCTAAAGAAAAACACATCTGGTTCTTCAAGGATGGCTCGAGATATTTTATGTGTTCAAGCTCAACAGTGGCATTAGAGAGCGCTTTCAGTCAAGCGAGGACTTCAAATAGGTGATCATAGAGCGTCTATGAGGGAGAGCTTGGAAAAATCAGTACTCTTCAGAGATTGGATCGCTCGGAAAGAAAGTTTTTTGGACTTGCTGAATTACAACCGGAGATAGACGAAGCTTATGAAGAAATGATAGCGGAACTTGCGGTGATGTTGCTTCGCCCGAAGCGGTGATGAACAAGCTTCTTTTCCGCCACCACCAACGGAAATTCCTCCGAACCTTGAAGAGATTTATGAAATTTGTTAGAGATACTATGTAGACTAATATGTAACTTGTATTTTGGCACATCTTCATTAGTTGTTTTTCCTTTAATGGTGGTATTAGCATCTTGTTGTGCTCATTCCATTGGGGGGAGGAAGACTAAAAGACATTGCCATTTTTGTTAATGTCGTAATAATAAAAATT